ACATTTTAATGTAGAAATATTAAATGATTGCAAAAATGAAATAATGAGCTACTTTTTAAAATATGAAACTACAACCGCCAGTAGGTGGCAGCAAGTGACTGTCTTAATGAGTGAGTTAAATCCATAAATCAACCAATGTGTTTAAAATGCTAATTTATTTAACTTAGCAAACGACTGTACTTATAGCCTGTTTGAACTATTTACTGGTCCGTGTAATGCTGAGAAACAAAACACTGTGTTGCTCGGAGACGCATTGATGATTCTGTGTCTGTGTTTATTGTACATTTGCCATCGTGCAGATATTCGGAAAAACGGGACTCTAGTTTGTGTGATAGGCTAACTCCTATATCCACTCATTAAACTCATTAAATGCAGGGTTCGTTCAACCAATAAATTTCAATGACTTTTAAGCCAATATTCTGCTCCATTAAAGCACAGGCTGCGACTGTGCCAGACGTTACTTCATGCAGAGAACATAAGTTAGGCTACATAATCACATAACTGAATGCCAGAATGTTAAGTATATTGTAATTTGCTTAGACAGTATTATAAATTAAACTCAGAACCTGAATTTCGTTTTAGAAACAGTTTTGGTGGAAAACATTCAGGTACAGAAATGCTGCAGAAATTGAATAAACTGTAAATTAAAAACAGCAAATTCACTGTAAATTAAACAAAAGATTAATTCTTAAAATTATAGTTACAAAAGTTATTCAGTCAAGAGCAGTGAGTGATTTTGTCTTTTGTTGTTAACATTAATTAACAATAACCAATAGGCCTAATTAATTAACATTGTTAACATTAACATTTGGTATGAAAGTGACAGCAGCTTTGCTGTCTGTCAGTCTGTGTTAAAGAACAAAATAAAAAAAAACACTCTGCTCAAACAATCTGCTCTTGACTAAATAACTTTTTCATATTTAATATGGATTAATATATAAATATAATCTATATCTATGACTTTATACATCATAGTATTTTGTTCCTGAATAGTAGCAGCTACTGTTAGTTTTAGGCTAGTTGTACGCAGTTGAAATGCGGCTAATAATTTCTGACTGTCACATAACTGAACAAATGTAAGCGGGTTAAGGCGGGGCCCCCTACAAGGTGGGGCCCCTGGGCTGCAGCCCATTCAAGCCCAATGGTAAGTCCGGCCATGATAATGTGACACTGAAGACTGGAGTAATGACTTTTCCTTCACAGGAATAAATTAAATTTTTAATTTATTAAAAGTGAACACATTTCTTTTGAATTGTAATAATAATTCACAATATTAATGTTTTTGTTGTATGTTTACATAAGAGACTTTTGAACTGTTTTGTACATAATACATACATTTTTTTTTAAGTTAAAGAAATTCCACTTATTAAAATATGCATTTTTAAAATAGTATTTCATTGTCATTCCTAAATAAATTCTAATTCAACATAATATTGGACATGGTCAATTCAATAAAAAATTCTAACTCTATTGAAAGTGAACTGAAAAGAAGCCAGTTCTTATATATTGCTTTGTACCTCCGCCACATGGCTTGGAGCAGTGCGACCACTTCCTGAGAGCCCACTCGAAGTAAATTGTGTCGTCCTGAGGCAGGGTGTTCTCCATTGAGGAGAGCGGATCTTCTGGCAGGATGTATTTGTATGAAAGCGTGACTTTAGAAATGCTCTGAGACTGGACCTGGAGAAGATGTTTGATATTGGTTAAGCATGTTACTTTTTAAAAAATACATTCTGTTGATTGGCCTTATTGGTATCATGTGATTTAACTTTAATTGTTAATAGTTTACCCAAAGATGAAAATTAAGTCATTGTTTACTCACCCTGGTGTTATTTTAATGTTGCATCCCTTCTTATTTTGGGCCACAAAAGGATATTTAAAAAAAAATACACTGCTTGTGCTTCTCCATAAAATGGTAGTGGATGGCGACCAGCATAAAGCTTTAAAAAAAGAAAGAAAAAAGCAACAAAAGTATCACTGGATTGTCCCATGTGACACGTGTCATATAAGTCTTCTGGGGGTATACAATAGGGTTTCGTGAAAAAGACACATTTATATGCAAACACCATGTAAAAGTGAAATTTGCATCCGATGTCCCCTTTAAATAGTACATTAAATTTATCTTTGTATTTCACCAAACCCTCAGTATACCCTCAGAACACTTGGAATGTATTATACGTGTTGCATGGGACTATTTTGTGATACTTTTGTATTTGTTTTTAAAGCCTGATACTTGTCACTATTCACTTCCAGTGTATGGATGAGTGTGAGCTGGGCATTTTATTTTTATTTTTTTCTCCTTACGTGGTCTGAAAAAGAAGGGCAAATGCCATTGGAACAACACCAGGTTGAGTAAGTAATGACTGCATTTTCAATTCTGGGTGAACTATACCTAACCACTACTAGACATACTGCCCTTATTTACCCTGAAAGCTGTTTAGGTTTAGTTCTGGATTTACAGTTATCTACTTTGGTAATTTTGGCTGATATAATGCTCATTCTCACCATAATGAGAACTCCATATTTGAGTGGTCCGGTGGTCTGGACCGTCTCCATATCATCATTGTTAGTGTACTCCCACGCCAAACCTTTTTCAATTACTGTACGTGACTCAGGAAAATCACCCTCGTCATTCAGAAAGATATGATCTGTGGCCTGGTTCTTCACCGCTAGCAGAGGACAATTTAACATTAGGACAATCTTAATTCTATGCAGTCCAATTCATGCACCCAGTGAGACACAAATAAGGATCAATCTTCATCAAGCTGATTTTATACACATTTCTTGTACCTATAAATCACAGTATTGGAAGGCATTACTTCTAAGTAGCTAAGGTGCTTCATGGTCACTGAGTTGGAGCTCCTAATGTCCTCAGCGCCAGGAGGAGTCCAAATCTCTCCATCAATAACAAAAGAGCTAGAATACCTAGAATATGTGGAGTTCCTTTGAATTCACGGATCTGTATGTGGCGTGCTCCTCTAGGAATCTCCAGGATCTTCAGAAAACCTAAGGATACAATTTACAAAAATAAAATAAGATTTGAGAATTGAAGAATTTCCTGATTGTGGTGAAATTTTAAAATGAATCTGGGTTGAAAACACTGAGTGAACTGCACAGGTCATGTATGGAGACCTGTTCATGGAGTCTGCGGTGAGGGAAGAAGCCTACCTGGTTTCCTCGTGCTGCGGGTGAAATTTCCTTTGACAGTCTTGCAGGTGGAGTTGTCTCCTCCACACACGCCACACTTATCATCCTCTAGCTCCGAGGCTATAACATTGTCACAGCCCACTTTCTGTGCAGAGAGCAGGGTTTAAGAGATCCAAAAATATATAGAGACAGATGCTGACTTTAGATAAACTGACCAGATTAATTTAAAATGAACTTAAAATGTTTTTTTTTATTCAATCGAGGTGCACTAAGTAATTTAAAGGTTTTACATATTAAGAAATGATTAGTACTTTTGAAAAATGTTTAAAATCACATGTGAGTAACATGTTGAGATCACATGACCAGCTGAAAACTCTATTTTTGCAGTGAAAACAAACAGGGCACTTCCAGAATTGAATCTGTAACTTTAAGATTTTGCTTTTGAGTGTAATGCATCATCCATGGCAATAAATGTCATCATAAAGGCTAAGACAACAGTGCTATTGACCAGCAATTTTGTATGAAATATTACACATAGATGGTAAATTTACTCTAAAATGAATCTTAATTCTAACCAGAACTCCTGTTTGCCAATAAAATCAGTAAAAGGTAGGAAATACTCTTGAGCACATGACTGCATAGAAACAATCACAGATCCCATCTTTCCTTTAGTGAGTGCCAGTGCTGTTGCACATTCAAACCCAGCCTTTTCCAGACATTCATATTCCTCTCAGATTATAAAGCAATACATCTAGCAATGCATTTCATCTTTTAATTCCACTAGCAAAACATCGAGATCTAAGCATGTACTTCATCAGTCTGCCTTACTCACAGGACTTAGCAGTCATGTATTCCACCAATAACAGAACTATCTAAACACAGACCATTGAAGACAGCGTCCTATTCTAGCAACAATTTACCTGACAGAGAGGAGCGGAAAGGCCTCAGAAGTCTGATTAGGCCTGATATTATTCATTCTACGGCATTTTGAAGGATGAACTTAAGTGATGGATGGTTTGTGTGGGTGTGTTTGAATAACCTTTACCTCACATTCCCCGCGCACACACACGCTGTAAGGGTCTTTGTAGGAACAACGTGTGCCATCATGCACCATTCTCTTCATGGATATCACGTCTCCGGTCTCTTTTGACTGGCAGTACAGTTGACATCTTTCTTCAGCTGTCCAAAAAAAAAAAACAGACCACAGACAAATTCATACAATTCCTATTTGTAGTTCTAGCACACATATACATTTTTGCATGTTTTTGAATTGATGGAATTAATATATTGATTTTATTAACCATTTTTTATATTTAAATTCAATCAAGATTAATTAAATATGGCACCACATTTACTTACATTTATTATTTACAACACTTTTTTCTAGTGTGTTTGAAGAATTCCATCACTGTACTCAAGCTGACACTTTAGAATGTTAAAATGAATGAAAAAATGTAAATATAAAAATATAATAGTAAATGTAACATCTCGGCTACGTACGTAACCCTTGTTCCCTGATGGAGGGATTTGAGACGTTACGTTGTGTCGACATTAGGGGTCTTACTTGGGAGCCCCAATCACCTCTGAGTTTAAGAGAAAACGACAATGAGGATTGGCGAGTGGATTTTGCATGCAACGCCACTCCCCCATACATATGGGTATATAAGATGAGTACATCCACTCATTCAGGTTTATACTGAGGAGCCGATACTGTGTCCCCACACTCAGCGAGTGGTTCAGGTTTGTGGCAAGGGGACATAACGTCTCTGTTCCCTCCATCAGGGAACGAGGGTTACGTACATAATCGAGATATTCTCTATATATCGGTCACTATGAGTTATGTCGTGACGACATTAGGGGTCCTATGGAAAGCGCCACAACCACTGAACGTCGTTACCACTGTGGCGCTGCAAATGCTGACAAGCTGTGGCGTGCCAAGGCAAATAAGTCGTAACCTTCCCAATGCCCCAGAGCAAATTCACTGACCTTGGTGCCAAGAGGGGCCAATGGTGAGTACATCACTGCTGGAGAAGGCCATGCTGCTGAAGGCCATCCACAGAAATTCTTTAACAGAAGGAATTTTAACTTCTGGAACAGACTTGCTTCAGATCTTTTCTCTTTTTCTTTCTTTCAGCAAGGCTAGATGAAAACGTTGGGGAAGCATGCCTAAGTTCAAGGATAAGGCTGTTACTGAGACCACATCCTACCCGTAGGGAGGTGATATGTGGAGATACTAATATGAAATGACTCAAGAGGAGCAATACTACTTATGGAATAAGTCTCTGAGGTAGGGATGGAGCTACTACCAACAGAGACGGACAGAGTGGAATCTATCCAAGCGAAGACACGGGTTTACCATGAGGGAAACCTTACCGTGGAAGAATACACATCTGGAATTACCTGCAGAGAACCATACAGATGGGACACCTAGTCCAGTACAGGGGCTGACCGGAGTCCCGGGCATGCTAACACAAGTACTGGGCTTGGCGTCAGACACCTCTGCCGAGTCTGACCTTCGGGGGTGCTGGAGGACGCTCGACCAGGGTTCGCCATCCTGGGAACTCATCTGGGAGTATAAAGGCTCTCACATCCCCTTGTAATGGGGAATGGAGCAGCAAGTGTGACACTGAGCCAGTTCTTCCCACCACTTACCTGTCTCCCAACACATGGGAAGAAACCGGCTCTTTGCAAAGGTTGTAAAACCTTCCGAAGGTGTTAGGTGCCGCCCAGCCAACAGCTCTGCAAGTGTCTGCCAGAGAGGCGCAGTGCGCCAAAGCCCAGGAGGAAGCTACACTCCGGGCAGAGTGAGCTCTCATCCCCAGGGGGCACGGCTCGCCTTGGGATTGATACGCCAAGGCAATGGCATCCTATTAGGGGTAGGAATCACAGGGTACCTCACGATACGATACGAATCATGATACATGGCTCACGATACAATAATATCACGAATATAGCGATTATGCACCTTTCCTCTCCTCTCATCATAAAAACGGAGCCCCGCACATGACATAGCCATTCACATCGCCTCTTTTGCGCGCTCATGTTCGTTATTTCAAATGTAGACGTGCGGCAAGCACACACACTGCACACTTCTGCGCCGCATTACGGCTCTGACAAGGTTTTGTTTCGTTGTCCATGCCATAGGTGCAGATTATGTTTCTGCCGGTCGGTGCTCACTGCCCACACTGGATAACACGCACTCGTGATATCTAAAGAGAGAGAGAGCATCCAGTTTTGTTGACATAAAACTGGATGCGCCGCTCTCTCTCACCCATATAGTGAGGGAAATCCACCTGCGATCCGAGCTGAGAGGTTAGGCTACTCACGGACTCAATATGCGGTCTGCAATGATAATGTGATCGATGCCTACAGTCCACGCTGATAGCTGTTCCGGTGCAGTTTTAGACGCGCGGCAAGCACACACACTGCACACTTCTGCGCCGCATTACGGCTCTGACAAGGTTTTGTTTCGTTGTCCATGCCATAGGTGCAGATTATGTTTCTGCCGGTCGGTGCTCACTGCCCACACTGGATAACACGCACTCGTGATATCTAAAGAGAGAGAGAGCATCCAGTTTTGTTGACATAAAACTGGATGCGCCGCTCTCTCTCACCCATATAGTGAGGGAAATCCACCTGCGATCCGAGCTGAGAGGTTAGGCTACTCACGGACTCAATATGCGGTCTGCAATGATAATGTGATCGATGCCTACAGTCCACGCTGATAGCTGTTCCGGTGCAGTTTTTTAGTTCTCATCTCCATAAACATAAGACGCCGGTGCATCTCTGATTTGTTGTTGGTCTACCATTATGCTCGTATTTCTTCTTCGCTGTGAATTACAATTTCCGTTCATCTGACCATCCGCAATCTGGGAAGCGCCACCACAAGAAGTCTGGAGGCACTGCCGCTCCGGTAAGCCAAAGTGGTAAACAGCCACAGTGTACGTATGAATTTAGATATTTTGTATGTTTAAAAAAATATCGATACTTGGTGCCAGAGTATTGATAATGTCTCGCGGTTGGAAATATCACGATAAATTGGCACATCGATTTATTGTCCTACCCCTACTACTATCCAGTGGGTCAACCTCTGCTTGGAGACAGCCTGTCCTTTCTGCTGGCCTCCATAGCAGACAAAGAGCTGCTCTGAGCTGGAACTCCAGGCAGTTGATGTGCCAAAGCAGTCGAGGCCCTGTCCAGGACCCCGAGGCTGCCTGCCCATTGCATGTAGCGCCCCAGCCTGTCCTGACAACAACATGCCAGGACACTTGTACTGAGGGCACCACTGCCCGTATAAAAGCAAGGTCCGATCAGGGGCTGAATGTGCAGCGACACATCAGCGTGATAAGGACATGATGTGTGCCACGGCGCCATGCCCATCTCGGGACTTAACTGTGTAACCAGTGCTGAAGTGGTCTCATATGAAGTATTCCAAGTGGAATGACAGCGGCTGCAAATTCCATATGCCCCAGGAGCCTCTGAAATTGTTTCAGAGGTCCTACCGTCCTGCCTCTGAAGGAACTCAGGCAGTTCAGCACTGATTGGGCACACTCGTTGGTGAGACGCACCGTCATGTTGACCGATTCCAACTTCATGCAGAGAAAGGAGATTCTATGCATGGGGGAGAGCTTGCTCTTTTCCCAGTTGACCCCCAACTGCCTGAAGTGCTGGAGCACCAGGTCCCTGTGATCACACAACTGTTCTCGCAACTGAGCCATGACGAGCCAGTCGTCGAGATAGTTGAGGATCCTGATGCCCACTTCCCATAATAGGACAATGGTGTCATCTACGTTTTTGGTAAAGACATGGGGGGACAGGGACAGCCTGAAGGGTCTTCTTTGAAGACTTAGCGGCAGCCTGGGACACGGGGGTCACTGCCTTGTTGTGTGGAGCTCGACGTGCCGGCCTTGATGTTGTCTCAGCGCGGGACAGAGCTGCCGTGGAGGACGCAGGAGTGCACTCAAAGTGACAAGCAGACTGTTGGCCGGCCTTCGACGGAGTGGTGGCAGCAGAAGGATCACGTCGGGCAAGATGTGCTTGATGGCCTCAGTCTGATTCTGTATTGCCGAGAACTGCTGGGCAAAGTCCTCGACAATGTCACCGAACAGGCCAGCCTGGGATATAGGAGCGTCAAGAAAGCGAACTTTGACGACATCTCTCATCTCAACCAGGTTGAGCCAGAGATGATGCTCTTGGACCACCAGAGTGTACATTACCTGCCCGAGGGACCACGCCGTGACTTTCGTCGCCCGGAGGGCGAAGTCAGTCACCGTGCGCAGTTCCTGCATCAACCCTGGGTCAGTACTACCTTTATGCATTTGTTTTAACGCCTTGGCCTGGTGGACCTGCAGGATGGCCATGGTATGCAGGGCAGAGGCGGCTTGGCCCGCAGCGCTGTAAGCTTTGGCAGCCAGGGTTGACGTCAGCTTACAGGCCTTGGACGGGAGGCGCTGACGATTCCTTGAGGTGGAAGTATTTTGCCAGCACAGGTGCACCGCAATCTCTCTCTCTGCCTGGGGAATGTCAACGTGCCCCCTAGCTGCCCCGCCATCAAGGGTAGTGAGGATGGAGGAAGTCGACGAGTGGCTTCTGGCCGTAAAAGGGGCCTTCCATGACTTTGCGACTTCCTCATGCACCTCCGAGAAGAAAGGAACCGGGGCTGGACGCGGTTGAGAGCCGCACCCCATGCCGAGAAACCAATCGTGACCAGAAACCAGACGCGAGCTCTCAGGGCTGGGTGGTGTGTTCACCTCCAGCCGATGCTTTATATAGTGTTCATGTAAACACTACGTTCGGATTCGTCAATCAGAATGAATTCATTCCGATGGAAGCAAAAAGTGTCCATGTAAACGTACCTATTGTCACACTCAGATCTCCCAGAGCACTTACCAGCGATTCCCTGCCTGTAGCAGGGAAACCGGGATGGGTAGTGACAGAGGGATCTCTACCTTTCCTGAGAAAGGAGAGATGCACTTGCAGCATTGCCATGGTCATGCGCTCGCAGCATGAACCATCCATAAATACGTCTCTTCCTAAGAAACTGCTCTCTTGTGAAATGAAGCGCCCAGGGGAGTCACACTGCTGAGCGGGGGAC